GATAATTACATTCTCAGTTCATCTATTTGTAACAATCCCACTCTTAAAAAGGGAAATAAATATCAGCTAAAATATTTTTTTCTAATTACTATAGAGATGCTAGGATATTTTTATCCCAATAACCCCGTATTCATAACAAAAGTGTACATTTGTCTTTTTCAATTTTCCATAAAATAAAATGTCCATGCACCAGAAACGAAATAACTGACCTTCGTCCAAGGTTGAAAGGTCAACCTGGGATATGGAAGCCTCATTAGAGTCAACTGATTTCTGAAGAGCAGGAAAAGACGTGGATCTAATTGTTAATATACAAGGACTGGCACCAGTATATCGAACAGTACAAAGTGCATTTCCAGCATATATTGGCCTATACAAGAAATCAAAATCTCATATTTAGTTAGAAAAAGAACCCATCATGTATTCATACTTGAGATAGAAGCAGGATCATAATAATTACTCTAATACAAAAGGGTGCTGCATAATCAGCTGCTAAAGCTACAAAAAGGAAAAAGAGATAATTGCAGTAGAGGTCCATTTCAAGAAAAATATTCCTTATATGCATGAACCACCATCTATACTGTATCACTTCAGTCACACCTACGAGTCAGGATTATCACTAGTTCATATCTATTCTGATGTCTTATTATCCAGAGCCAGAAGTTATCAATAGCATATATACTCTGATTGCAATACCTTCCCAGAATTCAAAAGTCCAAGATAATCCAGGTTTTTCGGCTGTCTACTCGCTCTCTAGGACTTCAATTTACTATAAGATCTCTAAGCAGTCAATGCTTTGTTTATAAATAGTTTTTATAATCATGAAAAAAGAAAGAATGATAAAACTATTAACAGCATTGATTACTGAGCTGAAGAAACACGATCATACTAGAACTGTGACCGAGTGAAACATGCTTCATAGCTAAGGCACCAAAAGTTAACCTTCCCAGCCTGACATTTCTAATATTGTTATGCAAATAATCTTTCCAACACTCATAACATAAGATAGTAATGATAATTAAGAATATGATTCATCCGTGGTAATTTTATCATTCATGCTCTAAAAGCCTTAAAAATTCAGAAGCATGCTATACATTGTAGTGGACTAAATGGCAAAAAAGTTTCTTTTTAGATACAGTCCAAAATCAGAGAGATCTTCCATGAAATCCATGATATGAACACGAGTGCAGCATTGCAAAGGCTAGAATAATAGTAGTATGGCCCCATCATTACAATGGCTTAAATAGTCAATGACTCGCATGATAACAAGGGAATCTTGGTTAACAGGCAAACAACCAATAGCATGGAATTTACATAATAAAAGCAACAATTTCATGCTACCAAAAAGTACAATATAAGCCAACAGCACAATTCATCCATGACAGATTTAATTGTAGGTGACCAGCATCACAGTTTGCATCAAACAGCCAGGTTCTAGTTACTAAAACATGAAAATAAAACACGGCACATCGTACCTTATAAAAGTATTGGAATCAGAAATTCCAGTAACATCAGTAATTGGAGAAACATCTAAAAGAGCAGCGACTCGTGGCATTATGTTTTTCCCAAAAGAATTTGCTGCAGCAAATATGTGAGAGTAACCACCACTATGCTGAACCAAATGAACTAATTTAGCCCAAGGTTCTGCCAAAGGGTTTTTGAATTTATCGGAATCTGCTACCAGCACCTACACCAGAAGCAGCACACCCACACTAGACATCAAAATCCTGAAACTCAACCTTCCTTTCCAACACATATCTTCACAAACATAACCCACACTCCTTCTCAATAACAAAATAAACATTTCCTTTCCCCTTATCACCATTTCAAGCTCAACACAAATATCCAACGCACCAAAACATGAATTTATCTATAGCATATTTGAAAAATTACAATATCCAATCAACGCCAACAGTAATTAACATTAAAACATTATTGTAATATTAAAAAAATAGCCAACATAGAAACAGAATCCCGCATTATCTTGCACTTGTGCTTTAGCTTCTAACTTTACTTACCATAAGTGTTTCAATTAACTTATTTCAAAGAACCAATAGTTTTTAAGAGAAATTTCCTGTAAAAATAAACTTTATTTGGACTAGCTTCTCTTTAAAGACTTGCAAAAGAAAATAATTACAAAAAAAGTGAAATTAACTTTTCTGTTAAAATTAGTTTATGCATGAGTTAAAAATAAAATTTTTAAAAAACCGTGATAGAGATTCTAAAATTAGCTAATGCATAAGAAATTAGTTTCTTTTTTCATTTCTCTCCTAAAAGTTCTAATACAAAAGCTCATCCAAACAGCCCTTCATCATCTAAAAAATAAGCTTTCCCAAATACCCCTTAAATATATAAACACAGGGATTCATTCTTTTTTTTGTAAATCACTGATATAGTTATTTTCATAGGAAAATTTGTTCTATTTAAATAAAACTATTTTTTATTGCAAACCTATCTCCTTAAAACAATTGTATTATTATTTTTTTACTTAAAAAAAATACAACAGTATAATACTCTTGAACTGGAAACCATTTGTTAACTTAGAACCACTTGGAGCTGGTAGTTAATTTTAAGAATTAATTTGTATTAAAAAAAAAGTCCTAATTACATTTTTCTTTTATAAAAAAAAAGTTTGGGTTACCTTGGAGATTGAAGGGTAGGACGAAGCAGCGTGTGAAGCAGCTTGATGAAGAGAAGGACCGGAACCAGCCAAGAGCACCGAAACGGAAGAGTCAGGGTCGGGAAGACACGTGGCAGCGGCAAGTGCAGAGAGAGAAGGGGGTTTGATAACGCCACCTTCGTGTTCCGCCACAACGAGCGTGCTACCCTACAACAACATCACCACCACAATGAATAGTATAACAAACAGAAGAAGAAATGAATAAAAAATAGCTTTCATTTATTTTGGTATGAATCGTTACGTGTCGAAAAGTGTAGTGGCCGCGGAATGCGGGGCACGAAACGGCGCGTTTCTTTATCACCCTGAGCAACGCGCGAGCGGCCATGGCTGAAGGGTGCGGGTGGCGCTGAAAATTGCTGTGTTGCGGCTGATGGTGTGAAGGGGAAGAAACGGTGTCGTGTTAAGGTGGGAGAGTTGTAAGCTGATGATGATGAAGAAGATGATTATGATAAGTATAACTAACGATGGCGCTGACGTGTTGTTGCGTTTTTAAATGATTTTTCAATAACTGGGGAGCATGCCATGTGCGTGAGGAGGGATGCTGGTTCTCCCCATTTGCATCGGGGTAGGGAA